GGCATGACACTTCAGAGCCATTTGACTTTTTGTGTTGTGTAATAGTTTCTTTGATTCGTTTTCTGCAGGATTCCAAGAGAGATCACAGTGATGAATATTCACCAAGCCATCTGCAATATTCCCTTTCTTGATTTCCTCACAAACAAGCATATGAGGATATTAAATGAGGAACAGTGAAATAACCTGAAGACTGTAGCAACAATGGATTGAAGACTGAAGTATTCAATGACAATTCCACTGTCTCTGTAGGACACTGTTACACATTTTAGAATGTTGGGCTACTAGATCGTTACCTCCAATTAAAGATGCACCTTAATGCAACAGAATGATGCTCTGTTCCAAATCAAGTTATTTAGGTTGCAGTGTTCACTCAGCAAGTGAACAAACAAACTTTGTCTGTTTGCATTCAGTTGCTAGCTGAGGAAGATGTGGTAGTTAAATGGGCCTCATCCAACTAATGGCTGGATAGCTTGCTGAAGTGATGCATTTTTTTAAATGGGCGAGATTCTTTGGTACATCAGTTCCCTTTGAGGCAGTCCACAGACCAGTACCGGTTTTGCTGTGAACTCAGGAGTTATGGGAGACCAATTTGGTCGAGGCAATGAGAATACACAAAGTGATAGGGGGTTTTGGAAGTCGGTTTGTTTGGAGGCTGATGCTTATGGTGAGTGACTTGTGCAGATATACTTGAATGCCATCAACACGGTGGTTCTTATGTAGCAGGACCTACCATATACAGCCAACTATAACATCATAAAGATTTCCTTCCCTTATGAGGGACTGAAAGAGAATTTCAGACATCTCCGTCATAGTATGTTGGGGGGTATGGCCAAGTTGAATAATTAAAGTCAAATTTAGAGACTCACTGAGCATGTGACCTTTGAGCGGAAAGGGAAAGGAAGTGGGGTGTTTGGTTCATTTCACAGATTTCTGTCTAGATTACTGGGCATTAATTGGCTGAGATCCTTTGCTTGCATAGCAAGTTTTGATCTTGGCTGCTGGAAATAGAGCCTTGCACAGATAAAAAGTTTGTATCTGCGTCAAATCTGTAAAAATGATTGGTGGGTATCCGTGGACTTGCAGAACTTTAGATAAAAAATTTAGATCTGCATCCATTCATAGTCTGCAAAAATGGTTCACAGATGTGGCTATCAAGTGGATCTCTGCAGATTTGCCTGGTCTAGCTGGAAGAATTGTGATTACTGAGCTGGAGGCCAAGCCACTAGCTCTGTAACGTTTCTTTAAGCCTCTGGAAACCATTGACTGATATTAAGCGCATATTGTGAGGAACTGACAATAACAAAGTTTGGGTTTGAGCTCTGTGGAGCAGAAAGATGTCCAGTGGGATTGGGAAGAACACTGGTATTTTGGGACATGTGAGCGCCTGATCCCATGGCTGTGGTAGAAACTTCACTTCAATTCTGCCACTTACATGTCTTAGATATTGCCGTGTTCTTCTTGTGAATCCACATCTGAAGGGAACAACTGCAGCTTGTGAATGCTACTGCATGTAAGAAGGTCTGCCCTTGAGTTATAACATATTCTTGGGTGTGTTTATAATATTGCCAAACACGCTCTCAAGGTTGAGCTGTACAACATTTGACTATTACTGCATCAGGCTTTCGAAGTCCTTGTCTTTTGGGGGCAGTGCCATGTGATAGGTTGAATGAGGGCCTAAAACCCAGGGGACTCTGAATTCTGGTTCTGTTTAAATCACTGACTTGCTGCCTGGCTTGGAGGAAGTTGCGTCTGTGCCTCAGTTTCTGTACCTCCTTAGCTCAGGGGGTGCTGAGGCCTAATTAATATTCGTGAAGCACTTTCAAAACACAAAGCATAGTAGAAGTGCTGTACACTCTGCTCCCCAACACAATAAGAGTGTATTTCAAAACTAGTACTTGAGAGTGTGTTTTCACTAGAAAATGAATACATTTGATGGCAGGAGCTCTAAAGCTAAACACAACTATGGAGAGTGGTTCAGCTGAAAAGTGGTTTCAGGCTTTTAAAGAGCAGTTACATGCCAGAGTGAATAAAATTCAATTTAAACTATAGACCTTTGACACTGTCCTTCTAGGGCCAGATTCATCCATTGGTGCCCTCCTTAGTCAGCAGATACCGCACTCCCAGCCTGCTCATTTCAATGGGGGTACTACTTAGCTTGGCCCTGAAAACGGGGCTGATGGGATGGAATTTGAGTCGGGCTCCGAGATGAAGAGCTTGATGACAGTGGAATGGGCGTTTAAAACTCTCTGGGGTCCTGCTGTGGAATTTTTGCTCATGCTGGTGGTCAGCCAGCAAGATCACGGGCATGAGCGAGTACTTGCAGGCTTGAGGAAGAGCTGTGCACTCAGCCCTTGGTCTAGCTTTTAAACTGACAGGAGTCTGAAGTACTTCAGCTGCAGCAACTCTCGCTAGAGCATAGTGACTAGGCCAGCTCTGAGTGTGGAGAGGAATTGGTTCAGTTTAGGAACATCAAGCCCTGTCTTAGCTTCCCAAAGTGCTTTCGGGGCCTGGCAGCCTCTTATCCTTGATGTTTTGTTTACAGGCATAGGGGATCAACCCTCCTTCACCTAGATGCACTTGTAGGCAATTTGTAAGTT